TTCCTGCCCCGGTTCCTGCCCCGGTTCCAGCCCCGGCTCCAGCCCCGGTTCCAGCCCCGGTTCCAGCCCCGGTTCCAGCCCCGGCTCCAGTCCCGGTTCCAGCCCCGGTTCCAGCCCCGGTTCCAGCCCCGGCTCCAGCCCCGGCTCCAGCCCCGGTTCCAGCCACAGACACGCTCCCGCTGCAGAGCGGTTCCAACGACTGCCAAGGAATCCCAGCCAAAGGAATGATAAAGATTTTAACTTACAGGAAATGCTGCTATTAAATAATATTTAAGTCTTAATTATATTTTAAACCGGCCATTTTAGAAAAAAAGAAGTTCTATTACGGTGCTTTTGTAGTTAAAGGTCTGTCAACATTTCCATTTTAAACCTTCATTTCTAGGGGGTTTATAATTTGGCCATAAAAATTCATTCTAGGCTGGAACTTGGCAAACAGGGGCTCAGCCTAGGAGCAATATTTTTTATTATCCAATTTGGTTTAAATTGGTTTGGCCGTTTTTAAGTTATAGGAGTGTAAAAAATAAACGTTTACTGGTTTCAGATGCCTTCTCGAGCTTATTATTATTCAAAATTAGCCTTCCCCCTCCCCACCTCCAAAAATACCTTCGGCGAGAGGTGGGGGAGAGCATCGGGCTCTGCTGACAATCCAGGAGTTACGGCTCAAATTAATTCCCTCCTTTTCCTGCCAAGAGCCCAGGAGCTCCTGGAGGCCGCCCTGATCCCAGCCCTGCGAGGCTGCGGCTCGTGCAGGGGCTGCAGCGGCCCCGGCTGCCAGCACAACTCGCTGGAAAGCTGCATGGCTGGGAAAGCTGCACGGCTGGGAAAGCTGCATGGCTGGGAAAGCTGCACGGCTGGGAAAGCTGCATGGCTGGGAAAGCTGCATGGCTGGGAAAGCTGCATTGCTGGGAAACCTGCATTGTTGGAAAGCTGCATGGCTGGGAAAGCAGGGATGCAGCTCTGGGAGATGCTCCTCGTCAGGGCTCCCCGCTGAGGCTCCCCACTAAAAGCTGCCGCTGGGAAGGGGCTGCAGGCGGGCGGCTGCAATTCCTGAGCGCAGGAATCCGGAGTTCCCTGAGGTTTCAGAGCCAGCTGGGGCTGCAGGGACACGGCTCCGACCGTCCCCACGTGCCAAGGGCGGCTGAGGGGCAGCCAGGCCAGCACAGGGGCATTCCACCCCTGCTCCCAGCTAAATTCCGTCATTTCTGTGCAGGGAGGGGCAGCAGCAGCGCCCGGGAGGGGCTGTGGGGGGAGGGCTGGCACGGCCGGGGCACCTGCAGGGCTGAAGGTGGCATGGGAGCCGCTCCCCGGGACACCCAGCCCTGGTGACACCGAGCACCCAGCCCCGCGGCGTCCTGGTCATCGTGGTGTCCTGGTCACTGTGGTGTCCTGCTCACCTGGTCACTGTGTCCCCTCCTCCCTGCCCACTCCCGCTTCCCTCTGTTCCTGCCTTTTTCCTGCCCAGGAGCTGCTCCCAGGGCCAGGACGGCGCTGGGGAGCCCCTCCCTTGCTGGCCGTGGGGTGAAGCTGTGCCAGGAGCAGGCACGGCTCAGGTGCCACAGCTGGAAACGCCAGGGGGACACGGTGCCACCCCACAGCTGGAGCGGTGACAGCCAAGGGGAAAAGGCCCATTTTCCCCCTCTGCACACCCTGTAAAGGGAATAATCCACATTGGTTTGGATTATACAAGCCCCAAAGCCCAGCTCAGCCAATGGCAGGAGCTCATCCATTACTGGGCAATAGAGATTTAAGGGATAATGGCCATGGCAGCAGAGTATACAAAGCAATAAACTGCTTTTGAGGTTGGTTAAATGCCAAGTGATGCTGAGGCCTCGACGCCATAAACATTATTTCTATTATATGACAAGATAAGAGGATACAATAAACCAGTGAGAAGAGGGGGGGGAAAAAAAAAAATCATTTTCTGGCCTCGTGAAAAGTTCTGGGCTCGGCGTTTCCTGGACGCTGCACAAAGCAGCACCTCCAAGCAAGGGTTTAGGGGGAATAAATTGGTAAATTAAGGGGGGGTTTAAAAAGCAAACGATTGTCTGAGGAAATGGCCTGGATAACTGGAGCTCTGGAATTAGGGCCGGAGGGATGATTTGTGTGCCTTGTAAAAGGGAAACGCTGCGCAGGGAGGGAGGGCAGGGCTGGGGAAGTCGTGCTCCCCGTTAAACATATTCAGTACCACGGTCCTGCCGCTGGCTTGGGCAGCAGGAGCAGCCAAACCGTTTCATTAACGAGGATATTCCTCCACAAGGATGCTCTGGAGAGCCTGGAGCAGCCCAGGGCTGGCATCTGCTGGGGCCTTGAGGGGGTTTGGGGCCGTTTTCCAAGGGGGAAGGTGGATCCAGACACGGAGAAACTTCCCTGCGGCTCCTGAAGCAGAAGCCGAAGCCCCCCCGGCTCTGGAGCTGTGCTACAGGTACCTTAATGAGCCAACGGAAGGTTTAATTCCCTAATTAACGAGGTGGAGCTGTCCCACTGCCTGTCCCAGCCCTGGAGCGGCTGGAATTCGGAGCTTGGGAGGGTGATTAGCAGCACACACCACCCCGATCCTTTTCAGCAGGAAACCCTGGCTCCAGGCATCCCTCTCCGCTTTCCAGGGGCATTCCGGAGGCAGGGGCCTGCTCCAGCTCCCTGCTGCCCTTCCAGGGGCAGGAACAGCCCCATTCCCTCGCTCGGAGCCACCAAGGGGACATTCAGCACCTGTCCCTGCGGGCAGGCTCCGGACGCTCGACCTTGGCTGGGCTCTTCTACCGGCAGCATCCGCGGCACATTCCGGGTCAGCTGTGCCACCCCGGCCGGCTGCTGGCAGCTGGGAGCTGGGAGAATCCCAAAATAAACCCCCCTGCAGCCCTGGCAACCCCAAACATGTTTACAGCCCTCTGCACACCCCGGCCGCGCTGCTCGGCTGTTCTGGGTGCCCTCCTCGCTGCCCTCAGCAGCTTCTCCTGGATCCTCCGTGCTCATCCCAAGGATCCTCCGTGCTCATCCCAAGGATCCCACTGTGCTCCCTGGCCCAGCAAAGCTCAGCCCAGCCAGGACTGGCTCAGGACAGGGGCTGAGGGCCGAGCAGGGCTTGGCAAGGCTCCGTGCCAGGCTCAGGTGCAAAAGCCCAGGGAGAGCACCGGGATTTACAGCGGGAGCTCTGGAGTGGGGTTTGATGGGATGCCCGGAATTCCACAGGGAGGATCCTCTGCCCTACAAACCCGGCTGGCCTGGAATTCAGCCCCGCTTCCCCCGCTGCCGGGGCTGCCCGTGCCTGGAAGCGCTTCCCGTGGAGCGGGGCTGGATCCTCACGCCCCAGCCCTGAAGGACGTTCTGGGAAAAGCGCGCACGAGGTCAGGCTGGATCCCCATGAATCATCCCGCTCGGAATTACCAGGATTCCAGCATTTCCATATTAACATGAAGAATTGTCGGAATTACCCATAAGCAGCAGGCTGGAACAGCGAGAGGAGGAAGCAGCCACCTTTATATGTCATTTGTGGGAGATTGTGGGAGATTAAATTTAAATACATTGTTGTTTGCCTTAATTGCTTGTTTGAAGCCGATTTTAAGGCCGTGTGATTGAAGGGCTCACACCATTAAGTGCTCAAACACAGCTAATACATTTTATAAATGGCCTGCACAATTTCACAGGCAGAGAAGTTTCAGATAAAAAGCAGCCTCCCAAAAAAAAAAAAAAAAAAAGAAAGAAAGAAAGAAAGAAAAAAGAAGAAAAGGCAAAAGGAGGAAGTTCACCTGCAAGGGAAGGAGGAAGGATCTGGGTGAGGATCGTGCCACGATGCCCAGAAAGATGGGAAACCCTAAATATGCGTTTTTAAAGTCCCCAGGAGTTGCCAGGTGAGGGGTTGGACCCATTTGTGTGCTCCAAAAAGAAACAACAGCGCAGATCCCGCAGAGGAGGCTCTCTGGGCAGGCAGAGCTCAGCTCAATTTGATTTAAAGCCCCACAGGAGGCAGGAAGGTGTTGAACAAACTGAGGAACTGGACACACACACAGGGTCCTTGGGATGGGTTATCATTCCCAAACCCTTCCCAATCCCAGCGGGGGAAGCCAAGCACAGCCAGGGAGGCTCGGTGAGCACGTCCCCTGACAGCTGACTCAGAGCCACAACTCCCAAAACAAGAAACTCGGAGTTCCCAGTGCTCCAGAACAGACAACCCCAAACCCTGCTGGGCTGGGCCCAGGCTGCACTTCCAGGGCAGCCCCAGCTTCCAGCAGATCCCACTGAATCAGCAGCAATTCCATCATCCCCCAGCTTCCAGCAGATCCCACTAATGAATTCCATCATCCCTCTGTTCCTCCCAGTACCGAGTGCCAGACTGGAGCCCCATTTGCCCTGGAAATGGAAGGAAAACGGGATGGGAAGGTGTGACTGGAGGAGGATGGGCCTCCTCCACCGCACTCATCCTGGGAAACTCCGCGGCAGCTCCAGGGAGCAGAAATTCCCCATGGGCACGGAAAAAAGCCCATCCCAAAATAGCATTTTGGGGACCATTTACCACAGCCCATCACCTGTCACATTCCCAGCTGCTCCAGAGGAGGAACTCGGGAGCCTCCTGGCCCTGGAGGGTTGAGGGTTCATCTCTGGGAGCGGAACGAGGGGAGGCCGGGGCAGCACAACCCCAGCCCGGGGGGCTCTGCTGTGAGCTGAGAGCTCACAGCTGGACTGGAGCCCTGCAGATCCCAGCTCTGCTTTCCTCCTGGATTCCCCTGGAGCGCTCTGGCTCCGGCATAAACCAGCCCCAACCCCGTTAAACCCCGTTAAACCCCAAAGCAGCTCGTACCTGTCCGCAGCCCGGGGCGCTGCACACGAAGGGCCGGTCGTCACCCATCCTTCAGCAGCCTGCAGAGCAGAGAAGGGACAGAAATCCTTAAATGGCCCCAAAAATCCCCCAAGCACCAGCAGGAGCTGCCCCTCTGCTGGGACATTGTTCACCAGGGGATGGGAGTTATTGCAGCCGGGGTTTGGGATTTGGGAGGGGCTGGGTGGGGTTTTACAGCTGGAAGGGAACCTGGAAAGGTGTGGGAGCTTCCCAGGGTTTCACCATCCCCCAGAGGAGCTCCTGAGGCTCAGTGTCACCTCCTGCAAGGTGGGGACCACGCTCAGCCCTGCGGAGGGGCAGCAGCAAAACCCCCCCAGCGCAGCCCAATCCGCCCTCCCTCGGCATTTATGGGATCAGGGAATATCCTGGGATCCAAAGGGATCATCAAAGGCAGCCCTGGACGAACCCAAGAACCCCCCCCATGCAAACAAACCAGCAGGGACAGTGGCAATCCACAGGAAAACAAAGTGCGAGCGAGCAGCCATCAAATAAATCCAAGGCCTCTCTCTGCACCGGTTATATTTTCAATGGGAGAGAACTAAAATTTGTCATTTAATTAATTAAGGGATTATAGGAGTGGTGCTCCGTTTTACAAGGCAATAATCGGGCTCCCCAGTGGGTAAACTACAAGGCTGATGGCAGGGGCAGTTTATCACGGATTACAGCCAAGGATAACAAAACACTCACTCCTATTATGCTACAAGTGAAGCTGTTCTCATTAATAAAAAATAAGAGTAAATAAAGAAAAACCCTCCCCCCCAGTCTCAAACTCGAGAAATAACGGTTCCCTCCACCCACTGATATTTTTACAGCAGGATTTTAAAAAGCTGGAATAAAGCAAATGCTCTCTCCTCGGGAAGCTGCTGTGGGAACACGCTCGGGGCTGCTCCAGGGGGCTTCCAGCACCTCCTGCTCCGAGCTGGGAGATGCTGGAATGCCAGGAAGGGAGCCAGAACTGGGGGGAGAAGGGTTTTGCACTTGCAGCCCTGAGGGTTGGTATTTTTAGGAACTGTGTGAGAAGGAGCTCCAAGAATGCAGCTGGGCAGGAGCGGCCCCTTCTGCTCCCCAGGAAAGGAATCAATGAGCTGCTTAAAATGAGCAAATCTGGTGATTCTTCTGCTTCAGGAGGTGAATTCCCTGCCCTCAGCCATGGCAGCAAGACCGGAAGGCTGACGAGAGGGGAGCTGTGATCCCACAAAAACAGGAGGCAGAGATGCCCGGCGCTGGGCTGGGTCTGGATTTATGGAGCCGAACTCCGGGGACTGTGCACGCAGGAACGGGGATAAACGAACCTGGCACCGACAGGAATGGGGGAACAAAGGCACCCAGACATCAGGGGTGGCCCCAGAAATCCCCAGAAGTGACACAGGAGGCGGCGGAGCAGGGCACAGCAGCAGCTCGGGACAGCGGGAAGGGCAAATCCTGCCCAAGCCTTGAGGTGACAACAAAACTCTGGATGGGGACACAGCCAGGACACCCCAAACTGGGAACTTGGGGATCCCAAACGCTGCCCCAGTGCTGCTGAGGGCACGGGGATCCCCTCCATCCCGAGGCACCTGATCCCACTGGTTCCTCCCCTCCTGACCCACACAAACCACCTGGGCTGGCTGGAAGTGACACCCAGAGCGTGTCCAGCCCCCTCAGAGCCCCCTCCCTGCGGGCCCTGCTCCAGAGCCAGAGCTGAGCACTTGCTGTGGTTCCAGACTCCCACAGGATCTCCTGATCCCTCTGGATCCCCTTCCCACCTTCCGCTGCAGCAGCTTTAACTCCTCCCCAAAGCAGCAGCTTCTCTGAAATCAAAGTCTGAGTTTTACAGACCCACAAGGGCTGCCCAGGATCCAAGGAAAACCAGAACATTCCCTTCCCCTGCCGCCCCCCGGAGCCCCTGTTCACGCTGGGCTGAGCCGGCTTCTCCCCCCCATCTCCCAAATTCCCGCTCCTTTCCCGCGGAATGCTGCCAGCCCAGCTGCTGCTGTCCCCACGCTGCCTCGGCCCATAAACCCCGAGTGGTCCCAAGCCGTGTTCCCGGAGCCATCAACAGCAGCAGAGCCCGTTATCCCGGGCCAGACGTTCCAGGGGGGAATGCTGCAGTCCCTGGGAAGGAATCAGCCCCGTTCCACGCTCGAGGCCAGCGATCACAGCGCAGCCTTCCCGAACGGGCTGTTCCCCGCTGGCACCTCCTGGCAGCCGGCCCAGAGCTCTGCCTGCAAACACCCTGGCAGGAAGGGGCAGCACAAGGGTGACGTTTCCAAAGCCCCCTTGGCACTTCTGGAGCTTTTCCTCCAAGGTGCTCCACGCGTGCCTGGCCCCAGCCGCAGGAGGTGACGTGTGGGACACGGGTGATGTGTGGGACACTCTGGGCTGCCCCCCCAGCCCCGCCTGCCCTCACACGTTTTGGGATCAGGCTTTGTGCTGGGGAAGCTCCCACGGGGCTGTCCCAGATGGGATAGAGGAGAGCTGAGGCTGGAAGTATCTCAAGACAGGATTTGGGAATCTGAGTCTCTTCTGGAAGCAACTCCCTGGACCTCAGCTCTGGATGCTGGGGATAGGGTTGGGCTGGAAAACACTCTAAAAATAAGGTTCTATTGTTGTCCTGGCACGTGACTCGTGTGGCAGGAATGCTGGTGCCCCACTGCATCTGGGCACTGCAGGGCAGGTGGGAATGCACCGGGAATGGCACCGGGAATGGTCACACACACCCCAGATGGGATGAGTGCTCAGACACAATCCCCGCTGCCCCCAGGCCTGCAGGAACAAGCCCAAGCGAAGGTGCAGCTGAAGGTGAGGTGCCTGTACCAGGAAAAGGCACAAGCGAGGCAGGAGTTAAACTCGGGATGAGCCTGAGCTCCGTGGGATTAATTCTCAGAGCCCAAGGAGTGGCCAGGCCACCCCAGCTCCGTCTGGGTGACTCTGCCGAGCCCCGGGAGCCGCGCCAGGAGCGGCTCCAGCAACCCCAGCCCAGCACAAACAAACCCATTCAAACACAGGCGCTGCTCCAGGCACCGGCCCAGCCCCGAGCGCGGGCAGGGGGAGAGCAGAGAAAGCCACAATAAACGAGATTATTATGGATGGCTGCAGATCTGGGCTGGAGAAGCCTCTGGCTCCCAGGAGAATACACAAACCCCTGGCAGCCGGTGGCAGTGCCAACCCCAGCGCGCTCCAGGAGAGGGGAGGCAGCCCCCACTGCCATCTCCAGCCCAGGAGGAAGCAGCAGGCTCTGCCCCCAGGCTCTGCTGAACAGCCCGAGATTTCCCACTGAAAATGCGAGGAAGGAAGCAGAGTGCTGAGGCTGGGCCAGGAAAGGCTCCTTGTTTTGCTGAGGGCAGTCCTGGCCAGCCCCAAGCTTCCTGAGCCTCGGGATGAACGTTCGGCACTCGGGACGGGCTGGGGGCAGCGGGGTCACCCAGAGAGCGCAGGGACAGAGCCCTGTCCTGGCCAGGCTGGCTGTGCCCTCCCTGTGCCAGCCGGGCACGGCTGGCAGCACCGTGAGCCATCCTCAGAGGAGGCAAGAACAGCAGCTCAAGCCCTCCAAGAGCCAGCCTGGCCCCGCGCTCCCACCGGCGAAGCTGGAGACACCGGGCACGGAGCTGCTCCTGCCCCTCGGGGTGCCCGGAGCTCTCCCTGCCTCTCCCAGCTGGGATCCACCCATGGAAATTGCGAAAGACTTTCAGTTTTGCAGGGAGAGGCCCCCTTGGGCCCAAACTCCGACTTTCAAGTTATTTTGGGGTGTGAGGGAAGGAGGGAGGGTGTTTGCTTTGTAACCAAAAAGCTGCGAGAGCTGAAAATTGTCCTGTGGGAAAGGAGGCCAAGAGCCTGGGCTGTAAAAGCTGCTTTGGAGGCACAACGGCCTCACGCTTCGTGGGCTTGGTAAAGCAAAGCAAACCCAACTGTATAAACTGGAATATTGGCAGGGAATTCGCTGGAAACAAATCCCCCCCAGCCACAGAGTGTTTAACGAGTCGTTTGCAGAGAAACCTCAGCCAAGTCCAAGCATTTCCCTCGGGGCTGGGCCTTTCTGGGCGTTCAGGGAGAGGATCCTCACCAAGCCAGGACCTCATCGCCTCGGGGGTGTCGGAGATGTGCAAAACCCTCATTTCTCGCTTGGAAGTGCCTTAAAACAGCCTTGGAGCGGCACCATTCCTGTCAGAACCTCACACCTGGCCCAAAAGTGACTCGGGGTGACTCCCAAAGCCCTCCCAGGAGCAGACGGACCGCAGAGAAATTCCAAAAAGGGTTTGGGAAAAGGGTCAAACCTGTTGGGAAGGGACACAGGGACCTCACAGGGTCACTGCAGCACCCTGACCTCGGCCGCAGCACCTGGACAGGGAATTTGGGAGCTCCCACAAAACACAGCAGCGAGTTTGGACATCGCTCCGTGGCACTCGGCGGCTCCAGGAAAGGTCGGAGCAGCCTCCAGGAGCTCCAGCTGCCCCAAGGGCACGACCTGAGCCTGCCCCCAGGAAAAAGCAAACCCAAACTGCCCCCAGGAGCTGCAGGAAAAGGCTCTCCCTCCTCCTCCCAGCCTCCCCCAGCAGCAATTCCAGAGGCAGAGGCCGCCAGGCTCCGCAGGATCCGGGGTGGCCTCTGTGCCGGCATCAGGGCGATCCATCTCGGGCTGTGCCGGAGATCTACGGCGGCACAGGGAAATAATTCAGCTTTACGGGAGGAAGGAAAGGCCTCGGAGAGCCACCGCTCCTCACCCAGCCCGGGTAATTACAAGGAAGCCACGGCGGCCTCGGAGAGCGCAGTATTTTACCTCGGAAATGCCTGAGTGACCCAGAAGCTGGAGTCCCATTTCCTGAAATTATTTCACCACTTCAGAGCCCTTGTTTCAATGAAAGCTGCTGCAAACGAGGCATGAGAGCCCTGAGCTGAGCTGGAACATATTTCCCCTGCCAATGCGCGTGGATGCTTTGAAGGGAAGAGCAAAGTCAGGGCTGCCCGGAGCGAGGAGCGGGAGAGCCTGGGAGGCAAAGGAGCACCTACGGATAAAACGCTGCCCGAGAATCCAAGCAGCGGAGCC